TTTTATAGTCCCCCCAGGATAACAATTGTCGGACAACAATTGTCATGTCACGTTCCGGATATGGCGCCCTCCAGACAAGTAGTTACGACTAATTCCGAGTCCACCACAGGATTGATTGTACACGGCGTAGAAGGTCTGAAGTTAATCGAATATATATGATCACACGATATAAATTAAAGAAGGAAAAATGGCGAGTAAATATATATGGAAAATCTGACTGGAACTGGAAATGAACGTCTCATAATTAATTTTATTTTTATCACAATTTCCTTGTAAAAATGGTTTATCCGTGTTATTAAGTTGGAATTTTAAATCATTTTTCTGATAATTTGAAAATAAATATGTAATTGTTATTTTAATAAATTGCAAGTCAATTATAAGCTAGGTCATTGTTAATATATTGAAGTAAATGTATGACGAACAGTTGTATGACAAAAAGAATATTTAGAATCAGAATTACGCTCCGTTAAATCTCACTTTAGAAATGCGAGCGTGACGTGCCGCTAATTGGACTAAACGTTTACTGGTTTGTCCACCCTCTCTGCTTTAAAAAATGTTCAAAATATTGGTACCCTGAATGGCGTCGTCACAAACACTTTTTGTCACGTTTTAGAGGAGCAATGACATTGGCAGGTTTTCAATGAAACAATGCTATCTCACGAAAGTCGACACTGGAACTCCAACAGTCCGAGGGTATTTCTGAAAGGTTATATTACAGAGAATTGTTTAAAACGTGTGGCGTTCGTCAGTGACGCCAATTTTGTATTTTTACATAAACAAAACTATACGATTCGATTACAAATTAATCAGAACTAACTCTTCGTTGACATTTGACCGTGGTGTTAGAAACAAGTTCACATAACTTTAACGGACGATTTACGGTTTCCAGGGCAAAAACACATATATATCAATACAGTTGTTTGACTGCTTGGTTTCACTTGGTATAAATATAAGCCGTGTACATTACTCACACTTTCATGGAGGACGGCGCCAAACCACGATACTATGCCGACACTGGTGCAGATTGCTAATAACCAGAAGACTATTAACGTCAGCATGAACGCTCCGAACGGATAACTGACGACAATAATCTCGTACAGTAGAAAGCATATCAGTGGCAGATTGAGACCTAGCTCTACTAATACGATAACGGAAAATATATGATCGGCGTGTCCCACAGAACGACAGAGATGTTGGTGTTCCCTGCGTATCATCTCCAGGCATTTTGTGATGGTTCCGTCCTTTTCCGTAGCTTTTGCTATAGTCTTGTTCAACTCTTTAAATTGTCTGGATAGCTGTAGACAGATTACAGTGAATAAAGAGATGGGGAAAATCCAGGCTGCAGTGTCAAATAAAAATGAAATGTTAATCAGTATTTGTACCACTACATGGGAAGAAGTATCAAAAGGAGACATGAACATCGAGAGCGTTAGGTTTGGCAACGATTCGAAAGGTCCATAGGTGAAGACATACGAAGCGACAGTGTTTGTAGTGATGAAAACTAGGCTTATAACGGTAACGATTACAGTCGCTTTCTTCAACCAGTGTACATTGAGTTGCAAGTTGATGCGTTGACTAAATTCACTCTGGCAATGTTTTTCAAAGTGTTGAAAAAACGTTTGATATTTGTCCGTGAAGCACATATAAAAACAAATGGTGGCATTGCAAGCACACTGTAGTAACCATACACTGGCAATGATACAGGTAACGAATATCTCCGTGGGTATGTCAGTTTCCAGCCAAATCGCTGCCAACGATCTGACGAAGTTACCCCAAAGTAAAATTACCACCACTCCTCCATATATGATTTTCGCTATAGACGTCGCCGACATTGAGGTTGACTGCCGATAGAGTCCCAGAATGGCCATGAGTCGAAATATCGGTGTAAGAGATCTATAGAAGGGAATTTCGCAGAGTTCTCGTTTTTCCTTCGTATCATCTTCGATGTCCACAACCCATGCCTTGTTTCTCGTTGTACCATTAGCTCCAGTGTTATTTGAACTTACTGTTTGAATATGGCCTGGCTTCTGCGTGATTGTATTGTGCAGAAAGACCTCTTGGAGCGCCATGGTGTGTCGTTTGTTGTGTACCACTATGACGGTTGTTGACGAGGTTCTTCCTTCCCGCTATACAGCCCTGAAAATACATAAAATCTCTATAAGAACGGATCGTAATTTGAGACCACCACACTATGACTTGGTTAAATTGAATGCGTGACAATAGTCGTCACCATAGTAACACTGTTTATGTCGTTCTTAAAATTATCACCGCCGGGCGAATCTTACTCAAAACTTGCCCCCCACGCGAAATGTATCACTCGTAAACAGAAGTAAGCCAAGCTAAACTTTGTGAATGAATCAATATAAACGATTGTATATTCGGGTTTAATCTGTGGTCACGCAGTAGCACAAATAACAAATTGTACACTTGCAAACCTATGATGTGATACGGTCACATATATTTTGTGATGTTTGAGATATGTTACAAGATGACCTGAATATTTTAACTTGAGGCGGTGTGCGCACTGTACCCACTCCCTTCACTGTCTCTTGTACGTACGAACCAACGCTGAACGTTGACGGCATTTAAGTTCAATGCTTTTATTTGTGGTCGGGCTGTCAGCAGGTCGTATAACATGATGTATTGTATGGAAAGTTCTAATGTAGAATTCTTGCCATTGTAAACGTGCCAGATATGTTGATTCATTAAGGTAACTCGCCCACCACGTTGTAGCCATTGTGTTATATATTGAAAAGTCACGCAAAAAAGTGAAAATCGATTACTCCATCCATCTTTAATATTTTTTTCTACATGTCTGATTTATGTCGCAGCTCACTTAATTTAAAACCATAAAACAACTTATGACGAATAATCCTAAAATGGTTAATAGGGTAATTGGTACTTACTTTTCGTCTGTTAGGATCAGGGTACCATTGGTTTTATACCAAATCACCTAGGCAATTCGCAGATTGGACTGAATGTCGTGAACGGGTTCGATAATTACGAGTAACACAACCCGGTCACCATCAAATTGCCGCGTGCAGCGAACGTGACTCCGGTTGCTGTAATGACAGTAGCGATGTTAAATATAATTGTACCACGTGACGACATTTGGTGAATGTAATTAGCCGCATAAAATATCTAAAAGCAATATGACGTGGAAACGTCAATGAATAAAGATATATTATTATTCGAACTATTTGTTTCAGCTGCGGAAGCCATTCGGAGATTTTTTGCCAAGTCATTGTGCCGTAAGCACAGGTTGCTTCAAGTTACTGGCGAACATTGCCACTACGGCTACGTTTTAGGTTGGAGGGGCAGCGAGGAAACACATTCGAGGGATAAATAATATTTATATAATTACAAAGGTAAATACAATAAAAAAGCCTGGGGAGAAAACGGCACAATTGCAAGACGACAATCTTCGCCCCAACCAGTCAAGGGTGTCGGACTTTGTCGTTTTGAAGTCGTATGCTTCAGGCAAACACACTCTGTAAACGTCAATATTTGGAGTTTGATGTGTTGCCGCTGTTCTATTACTTTCGTTTACTTTTGCACAACTACAACCACGTCACATCTTGGTTGAGCGAAATAGCTGAGATTGATTTAACGAGTGTGCATTGAGTAGCGATCATCAAAGGTCCCACACTAGGTGCTTTACGTTACGGGAAACCTTTGCATTCTGGCACTCGGTGTAAGATACCTTCTATAAACACACATCCATTGAGTCGAAGCATATATACAAGACAGAGTTCGATACGTCGAAATATCACCTGTACACAAAGAAGCTGCTCTCTGATTGGTTAGACTGTTACGTTGGGTTGGCTGGCCAATCAGATAGTCGCATTGATTCTGTATCTTCGGAGGAGCTTGAGGAGGAGGAGGGTACTCCTTTTAAAATAATTGAATAACGTTGTTGGCATTACGATTTGGACAACTCGTCTGACTTGCCAACTCATCAATTCACCTTTTTACCCCCCCCCCTCCCGTGACGGTCGTAAGAGTGTCAACAACAACATATGTGAACTTTAAAGACCGAATATAAAGAGGTTTAGTTGCCCAAACCGTGACTGATTCACAGTTTCACAAACGTGTACTAATGACAAGAATGATCAAAAAATACTCCAAAGAAAATATAATCTCTGTAAAAACTACACATACACCATGAAAACATTGTTTATGAATCGATTTGGGAAACGGGCCATCATAAAATATCCCCAACAGACCTCACATCTAAGATAATTATCTCGTCAAATCTCGTCAACTACTGTCATATTATCCCCCCGGGATGCGGATCCCTTTGTTGTCTCTCTGTATCCATGACTACCACTACATTAAATAAAGTTGTATTTGGGTCACATG